TTGGCATAGCAGTGTTAGTTTCAAATACCACAAAGCTGATCTACATGTCCACAGCTGGCCAACAAGAAATCACAAACAAGCAGCAGAAGGTAGGTTAGTTTGGTTATCTTTTTCTGATTGTAGAACCTCTCTCTCACTCAATTCTAAATAGTCTTTTCTCCAATGGTAACAAGGGGGTTGCAGATTAGTAATCAAAATATTTTTTTTCCAATCAAAGACAAGTTCTTTCTCAGGCTTCATACTTCTTCTAAATATTTGCTTGCCTGGACTGCCCTACTTGACCGATTTTAAATTTGAGAAAGGTAAGCAAAAAAGCATCCAGTACCAGAATGATCAGCACCACATAACATCCTGAAAAGAAATGAGCAACTTAATGTGAAGAGGAGCTTAGCCTGTCTTCAGTAAATGTGGCATTAGAATCATAGAATAGTTAGGGTTGGAAAGAACCTTAAGATCATCTAGCTCCAACCCCCCTGCTATGGGCAGGGACACCTTACACTAAACCAGGTCACCCAAGGCTCTGTCCAACCTGGCCTTGAACACAGACAGGGATGGAGCACTGTACCTGCAACACATTATTTGACACTTCTATGCATCTATTTATACATATATGAATTATGTAATAGAGATGTACATGTACATCTAATCCTGAACCAGAACAGATTTAAGCAACTATCTGGTTGATTTCCATACAAGAACATGGACTGGAACAAAGCCTGTTGTAACTTTAGTACATATAAAACTGGTAACACATCAAGAAAACATCCTGTCCTTTAAGACACATGAGCATTTCATTATAGAATGCAAAGTGGTCAGAATTTCAGGAAGAAATTGATTTTGCTCTCTCCCTATCTCCTCCCGTCACCGCCCCCCCCAAAAAAAAAGCAAAGACATAATAACTGGAAAATTAAAATGACTGAAATAACTGAAAAATTTTGGTGCTTTAATTACTGCAAAACAGATTAAACAAAAAGGAAAAGTGATGCTCTGTTTGTTTCACGCTCCTGTTCTTCTGGAGGAGATAAAAGTTTCTTAACAAAAGCTTTCTGAAGAAAACACACAACTACTTCTGGTAAGGCAAGCAACTGATAAGTGATTATCTTGAAATGTAGGGTTACTAGCTATGTACTGCATGCTATTTAAGTAGGGAAAAGTGAATTAATAAAAGCAAGACCTTTAAGCATTTTGGTCCAAAACTTGTAGTGCATAGTTAAGATTCATCCTATTGCTAACAGGATTCCAGAAGAAAAGAGATACTAGCTTGCCCCTTGACAATACATGGAAAAAACAAACAAAAAGCCAGCAGCAGATAGCTTGCTTCCTTTTCTACTCCCTAGACTTTTGTTCTTCTGGTACCTCAAGTAATCCAACAACGGATACATTCCTAATGGATGAGATATACAAAACTTGAGAACTCACAGCATTGTGTACACATTAACGATCATAACGATAAAAACCATAATGGAGTATTGTACTAATAGCCACAACTGGCAAAGTAATATGATGGGAAATTGTAGCATCTATGCCTTATCAGCAGAGAAGTGATGGTCTGCTCTATTCAATCCATGTGCAGCTCTGCCAGAGAGCAAGAGGAAACTGTGTCCCCATTCTATCTTTCTGAATAGCAATGTTGTGTTACTGGATAAGTGTCAGGAAGAGACAATCCTTCACGAGATCTCTACCACAGCACTAATATGGTTATAAACAGTGAAGACTTGCAGACAAAAATATTGTAGGATTGAGAAAGCTGCACGTTGATCTAAATTCTGCCTACATACCAACAGCACTGCACTTGAAACATCTCTCTGTAATACATATTCTTTCTCAGTTTGCTGTGATTTAGGCAGAAGGGCTAGAATTAGGAGCGAGAGCTGCAGCAAAAATGGATCCACTTGTAATGGCTGTATCCCTTTTTCTTATTTGCTCATGTCACTGCAGAAGCCATTAGCTACCTCAGATCACTTACATAAAAGCATGAAGCTGGGACAAAATTGTATATTGGTCAATCAAGAATAAAATATTTCTCCAATTATATTTCCACTTATCCTAGTATAAGGTACTGGACCTACTGTACACAGACTCCATTCAAATCTTGAGTGAAGAGTATGGATTTTTTTCGTGTCACTTTTTAGTAACTTTTCATTTGGCTGTTTACAAAACACAGTGTTGTGGTTTAAAACCAGGCAGAGGGCTCGTTCACTCACTCCCCCCCTTCTTTTCCTCCCCCTACTCCCGGAGGGATGGAGAGGAGAATCAAAAGAATGCAACTCCCACGGGTTGAGATAAGAACAGTTTTAGTAACTAAGGTATAACACAGATCACTACTGCTACCACCAATAATAATAATGATAAAGGAAATAACAAGGGAAGAGAATACAACACCTCACCACCAGCAGACTGATAACTCGCCCCCCCCAGCCCAACCAAGCACCGACCGATACCTCCTCCAACCCTGCAGTCCCCCAGCCCTTCTGGGTAACTCCCAGTTACCTCCTGGGCATGACGTGCTGTGGTATGGAATACCTCTTTGGCTAGCTCGGGTCAGGTGTCCTGTCTCCGCTTCCTCCCAGCTTCCCCTCCTCCCTGGCAGAGCATGAGGCTCACAAAGTCCTTGGCCAAACCAAAACATCATTGTTATCAGCTCTGTTCCCAGGCCAAAAGTCAAAACACTGTACTGCACCAGCTACCAAGAAGGAGAAAAATGACTGCTACTGCTGAACCCAGGACACACAGTTCATATTGAGGATTGCAATGGTGATACCCAGAAACAGCAAGTTTCTGAAAATCATTACTGAAGGAACATCAATGCATAGTTGCCACACTCAACCACTGCCTGATTCTTTACGGAAGTATTTTCTTTACACAATTTAATAACAAGAAGGCTGTCCACAAGGTAGAAATGGAGGCCATGGGTTTCAGTCATACTGAATTCCTGGGCTGTAAAAGGTTTATAGCTATTGTCGCTTGCAGTTATTGGGACTGATTCTTATTTCTTTTTCCCCCACCATCAATGAAAGCAAGAATAATACTATTTCTTTTTCATTCACAGGAAAAATTTAGGGTAAATAATTTTTTCAGGACACTCAGATGTCACTGTAGTGAAAAGCTCATACAAATGGTAGACAAGAGTCAGACAAGGGGGCCTATGAGGATGCTGGGGAGGGACTTTTCATTAGGGACTGTAGTGACAGAACAAGGGGTAACGGGTTAAAACTTAAACAGTTGAAGTTTAGACTGGATATAAGGAAGAAGCTCTCTACTGTGAGGTTGGTGAGGCACTGGAATGGGTTGCCCAGGGAAGCTGTGAATGCTCCATCCCTGGCAGTGTTCAAGGCCAGGTTGGACAGAGCCTTGGGTGACCTGGTTTATTGTGAGGTGTCCCTGCCCATGGCAAGGGGGGCTGGAACTTGACGATCTTAAGGTCCTTTCCAACCCTAACTATTCTATGATCCTATGATTCTAAGGTACGCCAATTTACTTAAACAGGTCAAAGCTGAATGAACCATTCATGACAATTAAATACAAGTGGTAAAAATGGACTGATGATTCCACCTGAATAGAATTCAACACAAACAATATCATCAAAGTAAATTTACTTATGCCACATCCGAAGAACATGTTATTGGCAAATAATATCTATAACAGGCCATATCTTTCAAAACAATGGTAGGAGTCAGTAACCCTATTCTAAGAAGAAAAAAAAATGGAAGATCAGTGATAGCAGCAAACATAAGGGTGAACAAATAGAGAAGACGTATCTGGTAACCCAGCTTTTCTGCTGCCACTTAAATGTTCCTGAAAAATGAAATTAAAATTTTCCCTGCATCCAGGCAACAGGGAGAGACACAAGAAAAGCTCAGCTGTAAATAATCAAACAGTAGACAACAGTTTTCATGAAGCCTATTATTCTGTTTTCCATGAAGCCTATTATTTTATAGGCTTTTGCATGCTTGAGCAAACACTCCTTTCAAAGTGCATAGTGAAGCGATATGTATATTTTAATTGGATGGGCACAGTGTTTGCAACAGACTGTTTACCTGCCTGCGTGCTCACTTTCTCTTTTCCCAAAGAACATCAATTTTAAAGTTGGTTGTGACAACTTGGAGTTTTTAGAATATTACATGTATTAGAAACTGAGCTGTTTTCATTGTTTTTTTGCTGTTTTGTAACGCCCCCCATGTCTTCTCAATAATCATAAAAAAATAATCTATTATTATTTAAAACATTTCACAAAGCTGGTGAAAGGGCTGGAAGTCATGCCCTGTGAGGAGTGGCTATAGACCTTGGGTTTGTCAGGTTTGGAGCAAAGCAGACTGAGGGGTGACCCCTTTGGTCTACACAGCTTCCTGAAGAGGGGATGTGGAGAGGGAGATGCTGATCTGTCTCCCTGGTATTCAGAAACAGAATACATGGGAATGGTTCAAAGCTGCTGCAAGGGAGGTTTACACTGGACATTAGGAAGCATTTTCTTTACAGACAGGGTGGTCAAGCACTGGAACAGGCTTCCTAGAGAGGAAGTCTATGCCCCACGCCTGTCACTCTTTTAGAGGCATTCGGACAATGCCCTTAACAACATGCTTTAACTTCTGGTCAGCCCTGAGGTGGCCAGGCATTTGGACCAGATGAATGTTTTGGGTCCCCTCCCACTGAAAGAATTCTATTCTAGTCTAGTTTAAAGGGAGAAAACCCCAAAACAAACTAAATCCAAGCTACTGATAAATAAAAACAGAAAGTGTGAATAACCTTGCTAAGGAGGTAACTGTAGACAGCAGTTTACTGAAGCACTGAATAACAATTTTTTCTTTTTTAAACAGGAAAACTGAAAAAGTTTACTTGCTAGCATTTGTGCCAAGTATGCAGCAACAGTATTTATTTCCACTGCAGCATCAGTACTTCAGGGTGAAACCCACTCGACAGAAATGCACATGATTTCTGCAGTTAAAATCGTGCATTTTTTTTATGCCAAATAAAGAAACAAACAAACAAACAAACAAACTCACCAGGGTACAGAAGATGCATTGGCACTGTGCTATTGTTGTCATCTGCTCCACAGGATATTCACCAAGGCAGAGTTTGCAGGACACTAACGGGTCAAGTACCAAGTCCCAGGTAGGCCTGTATCTTGCTGCAGTCATTGCAGAAGAGTCTGAAAAGCAGCACAGAAGTAAAGATACTCAATCATTTCCTTATATTGATACAGTCCATTTCTGCCACTGGAAATCTCATTATCAGCTGCTGCCTTTTGGGGGAAAAAAAATATGAACAGCAGCGGGCAAGTGTCAGCACTTGCAGTAGGCTATATATTCCCTCTCTGGTAGAACATGCACATCGAAAGCAAAAATGGGAAAAAAGCCCACATAATACACTGACAAGACATGATAGCAAGCAGGGTATAACCTCGGGTCACAGACTTTTGTCCGAGATAATACATGCAAAAAACTCATTCCCAATTTGTCATTTTTACTAGTACTTACATTATAACCAATAGCATTGATGACCCATCACTTAAAATGCATTCTTTAGCTCCCACAACTCTCACAACCCAGGCAACACTCACAAGGTGTTTCACAAACCAAGCATCTATTATGCCCCTTTTCCAGCCTGACGATATTGCAACTCACAGAGCCAGATATTTTTGTTTCCAACAGCATGACAGATTGATCAGTTTGCTAAGTTAATTTTAGAAACAATGAACATTCTGAGTACACTCAGAGTCTTACCCTGCATTTTTCCTCCAGCCTTGCAATATGCCAAAAGCACAACTTTGTTGTAGTAACAATCAACTGGGGCAAATATGAACACAAAGTGAGCTATAAAAAAGAAGCTTTAATGCCTATATATCACCCTCAAGACAGCAACAGGATAGGACTATGCAAAGCATCTTTATCCTAGGCTTTAGGGCCCAGATAGAGAGTTGTCAACTGACTAACCAGAAAGAAAATAATCTCACACATAACAAATGTATTCCCACAAAAAGGAAAGCTAATTTACAAGTTACACACTGGGGAGGGCTGGGAGGTGGGGAGGGAGGTAAACAAAACAAGAAACCAAATGCTTCCACAAATAGTTTAAGTAGCTTATATTATCTTAACACCATATTTACTAGTATTGTTTTGTCATTGTGACACTGACTTTCCAAGTGTGGAAAAATTCGCATCCTGAGGTTACTGGGTGGTCCACAAAAATCTCACCTCCCTCATTCTCAAAATCAGCTGGCTCCTTACCTTACCCACACCAGCAGTTCCACCACTGCCATCATGATCCCAGGTTTTTCAGTGAGTAGGTTGGTTTTTTTTTTCCTTCTTTTTCTTTATTTCCCCTTTCATTAGCACCTGCAGGAATTGCTTATATCTAAGTCATATTACCCCACCTTGTAATGAGATGAACTCCAGAACTCCAATGAATTGACGTTTATTAGACTACGTCTAGGCATACGTTTAAGAAAAATGTGCTCCCCCCCCCCCCCAAGAAATCACATGCACAGTTCAAGGCATGTTTGTGAAGTCTAAGACTTTGATAATCTATTAATCATGGACATGATTCCAGCAACATCTCCAAATTTTCCAAAACAAAGTGAAGATTTTACATTAACCATCCGTTCAGTCTAATTCATCAGAAGATGCCCTTTATAAGACACCTAAAGGACATCAAAAGAGCAGAGCCTAGTCATACTTATTTCTAGTGCAGCCATCAGGGAGGAGAGGGGGAGGTTAGAAAGATTAAACATCCCATTTTCAGGGATGCACTGGATCACTTCCCCTGAAAGCCCACCCACAAACTCCAAACTGTTTCAAAGGGGAAAGATGAAATCATCAAATCGCCCTGCAGAACAGTACACGAATAATGGCTTCACATCACAAAACAGGACATATGCTGGGCAGTCTTTTCTGAGACATGAGAGTCTGACATGAATGAAACCCCAAGATTTTTAAGGCTATGAGACTGCTGCTTTATTGTCTATTGCCACTATTTTTTCATTTAACAAAAATATCAGCAAAACCAGTTTTCTAGGTTTATCTGACTAATTAGAGGTAGACTCATGAAGTATTTAAGAAGCAGCAAACACACCTGAACTGTTTAGTTTGAGGGTCCTTTGCTTGCTCTGCCCAGTTTATTGTACATCTGTTGCTTATGGCAGCAAACATGAAACTAGAAGATAAACAATGAAGAGGGATAATTTAAGGATGCACTAGCATACATCAGGCAGACCAAAATCCTAGTGGGTTTTATGGTGAAGATGTGAATAAAGGGAAAAATAACCCCTATGATCCAAGGCTTACACTTGTTCCCTAGGACTTTCAACAGAGGCTTACTGGTACCACATGGCAATTCCTCTTTTGCAGTACAACTGTAACGCAAGAACATCTCATTTAGAAATATTTCCCCTCTTTTTCTTCTGCAAAACAAAAGTGAATCAAAGTGAAATTTCTTTCAAGATGGCATCCAGTAGGCAGGCAGAAATTGGCTTCCCCATACAGTTGGCATGTAATCCATGAGGAACTCAGCCATGGTTTTATCAAAGTAAAACCTAAATGTAGCCTCAAATGGCAGCAGAGCCATGCCTGCTCAGCCCTCCCTACCAAACTCCTTAGAGATCTTACATTCACAATGGGGCAGGAGTGTGAAGTATCTATTGTAACTAGAGGCATTAAAGCAAAGATCAAGAAATTTGCCACCTAGACTTGGAAAATACATAAAGTTACCACATCCCAGTGAAGAATCTCTACTGGATGTCCCTATGAAGGAACAGAGAATAAAGCTTTCCAAAGCACAAACTAGATCTTGCTTCACGACCACCTGGTACACTACTGAAACTAAATATAAGCTGTTGTGCTTACAGCATGATGCTTAAGAAAGCTTTTTTTTAAAACTAAACCAAAACTAAACAACAAACAAAAGAGCAGAGGGGAAAAAACCCACCTCTGTCAAAACCAGATTAAGACTCCTACTGTTCCATAGCTGTGGTCTCTTACGGCTTCAGATTGTAATCTCACACTTTCCAGATATGTGCAATAATTTAGTGACAATGAAAAGTAACAGCAAGAAGAGGCAATTGAAAGGAGCTCTAGAAGAACAAAGTATTGAAAAATATGTATTGGTGTGCCCTCGTGCTGAAGACCACCAGTTATTGCACAAGTCAGTAGGAAATATTGCCTTGTGGTTTGGCTATCTGCCAGGAGGACCCAAGAAATGCAGCTAGTAAGGACATAGAACTACAGTCCAATCCACCTACTGAACAGGTCTTAACCCAATAAATATTTAGTTCATTAAAGATTTAATGTTACCACACTCAAGACAAACATCAATACTTCACAGGCCCTTATAACAGATGCATCAAATCAGAAAACCAGAAAAGAAGCTGGTTGACAGTTCAGACTCCAAACTCTACTGCAGTCAAGGTTAGTCTCAATTACATATTTTTTAAGACTGTGGTTTATATCTGGTAATACTGAATTTGTAAAAAATATAGCACATTATTTTCTAGGGCAGCATCCCAAAATGAGCTGGGAGTATGAAGCATAGAAAATTGTTTTAGTAATAGTTTTTTTTTCAGAGCAGGCTTTTCATAAATTATCAACAACTGACTAATGACTACTTAATTCTGCAACCATGTGCATGTCCACACAAAAAAAGAACCACTGCATAAATACAGAGAAGTGACTGAAGTTTTGCTGCTGTACCAACACTTTAATATATTTTAAACATTACTGTTGTGTGTTCAGGAAGATGGGTATGGAAAGGAAAGGGAACTTCCTTTATTTCTGCACAATAATTCATTAAGTGAATACAAACTGGATTTCTGAACAGTAATCCCTTACGAGTTGGTCCACCTACACAGATTGCATTTTCAAGTGAAAACAAATGGCAGACTTGATCTCTGCTAAGTCAAAAATAGAACAATTCTTGCTTTCCAGGCTTCAAGAAGTTGCAGAAAACAGTGAAACAAATACTGGGGAAACTAAAAACTCTGAAAACAGGAAATAATGCAACTTTCTTCTATGTGAGTCATTTAAGAAATCATAGAACAGCACTATTTTTCTTATTGCACTGTAGTCAAATATTTCATGGCACTGCACAGTCAAGCTACAGTTACACTATCAGCACTTCACAGATACATGACGAGCTATGTCAGAATAAAGTGACTAGAAAGTATGGTTGAATAAAAGTCATACACAGCATGCTAGCTCTTTTTCATCCAGCAAGACTTAAAATAGAGCTTTCAACAGAATCTAAATTTCACCTTTAGATCAGGGATGAGTTTAATTTCTAAATTAAGGGCTTCAGTCCCTCTCGCAGCAGACAGCAAGTGAATCAGGTACACTTAAGTCATCTGCCTTACAGAGTTATCTTAATCTGAATTTACTTATATGATGGAAAACAGATCTTTTAGAAGTCAGAGATTTAAATAGGATTTAAAATTGATTCTCATCCCTGTTGTGCCTCTTCATCAAAATACCTTCAGTTAAAACAATCCAGGCTACTAGATGATATCAAACACATCTGCTATACCACAGTTTTAGTTTTGTATAATATATTTATACATATAAATAAGTGCATGTGTGTATATAACGTAATCCAGGCTACACTTCTCCCTACATGAAGGTAAACACATCTGTCACAATATAATTTTATGTATTTAACATATAAAGTATGTTTGTATTTATACATTTTTATAAATATATCAAAATGTAAATCTGTAAAAGTTTTTCCAGATTTTTTACTTATGTAGAAAAAAATGCACATTTCTGAGGTGGAGTCGCCTGCAGAAAGGCCACTATACTACGTGCTGGAACTGGCAGTGCCTGCCACATATATTAAGTGAATATTTTTACTCTGGCCTCAACAATATGAGCCTTGCTACGTAGCCACAGCTGTAGCTCACTGCATGCTATTCAACAGCTATCTCCAAGACCCCCAAGTCAGCAGGGACTAGTTTACATGATCAGGGCTGATGGCTGAGGGTGTTCAACAGTCCTGCAGTTTTGGATTATTTGCTAATCCTCTGTCAGAGTTTGAATCTGGATGCCATTTTTCTGTTCCTGTGTTCTTCCAAGGATCCTTAGAAAGTTTATATGGGTAGGGAAACATCAAAGAAGCCTGCATGAGATAATTGACCAGTCAGCAACTACATTTTGTTGCTATTAT